GTCATTGATGCGTCTTCTGTCAGTGTGTAAAGAACTTTGGGGTAGTTTGTCTCTATCCTTTGACCTAGCCTTGCTCACTCTGATTTTGTAGTGAGAGAGGATAGCTCCTTGTGATTTTTGTGGCTTTCCTTACTGTTGACTGTTCTATCAAGCTGTCATAAAAATGTCTCTAGAGTAGTTATTCTAAAGACTTGTGTGATGTAGTGTTGGAACTGATATTCTTGATTAGGTTGTTATTAATTTACTTACCTTTGGTTTTTGGGAAACACCATTAGTTTAATTTAGTAATAAGCTTTGGGGAACAAATACTTGCTTATTAAGTTATGATGATTGCCCGCAAAAGTTGAATGATTTACTGTTTCAGGTTTCTACTATGTGTAATAACATCGTGGAAATCATAGAAATATATATGGTGCGATTATTGATCTTGAGATGTTGAGTGCATCCATTATTGACCAAGCACTCTTGTCTTTTGGTAAAAGAAAAACTCTGGGAGTCTTAGTGGACTGCACATTTAATGTGAAGCTGACGCTGTGCCCTAAACTGTGCTACCCGTTTTAGGGGACACCAAGATGAATAAAGCATACTTCCTAAATTTCAGAAGCTCATAAGCTGACTGGGAGGTAATAACATTTACAGATCTAATTAAAGAGTCTCTAAGCTTCTAGGGCACAGCACAAACTTGCAGCCTGGTAATTTCCTCGAAGGAAATGGTTGCAGTTAGGTTTACTAGCTCTTGTTTTTCATCCTTGTACCTAAGTAGTTTTGCTTTTAAAAACCTCTTGAATGTTCAGATTTTGATTACTGAAAGGTGGCTTATTTCAAGTCGGGTGTTATCTTTTTAAAAAAATATTATTACTATACATTATTTTGGATCTCAATCATTTTATTATGAAGCATACTTCTTAGCCAATTTTACTTTTTAAATTTTCCTAGTTACCACATTTGCTGACTTATTTTGGTGCATGCAAGTAAGAAACTTTCTGGAGAATCTGTCAGAGTATTCTTATTTAATTTGATTAAGGAAACAGAAAGGAAAACCTCTTCATTACAAGTTGCCATTGTCATTGTATTTATTATGACTTATTTTGGATAGGATATGTTGACTGAAATAAAAATGTACAACATAAACATTGTGAGTTCAGTCTTATTCGGGGACCTTACTGAGGACTGTTGCTGGGAAGCGGCCTCTCAGCTCTGAGCAACTGCTCTAAAGAGGTAAGGGAGGAGCCAGGATAATGTATGAACCTTATTTGCTGGGAAGTTAAGCATAGAAAGATTACTGCTAACCACAAAAAACAGACATCTTAAGTTAATAATTTTAGTGCTTTTCTGTGTATGAGAAAATGCAAGAATCTGGGTCATTTGAAATGTTTCCTTAGATATGCATCTTAACTATCTAAGGGACAGTAGATCCAAAGCACAGAATGTTTCCTGTTTTTCTCCATCCCGAATTCCCCTCAGGGGGCACTGTCTCTGGGCCACTGCAGTAGCTAATGGCCTGATCCTTGTAGAACTGAAATGTCAGGCAGCACTTTTTTCTTCACAAACACCAGTGTGTTAGCTTGTAAAATCAGAGCATTGGACTATTTTGAAAACTCAGGATTTGAATAGTTTTATAATTCAAACATTATTTAAAATTTCTTCTGCTTTTAAAAAATACATAGATGGACCTTTTCCATTGGGGTTTCTAAATTATGGCCCCCAAGCCACTTAAGGAAATCAAACACTGAAATTGCTCTGGATCATCATTTCCACAGCAGTTTTGCATATCCTCTAACTGGACAGTCTTATTAGCTTATTTTTTTGCCCATCTTTGGGCATCCGCCCAGAAGGAGGTCCATGTTGTGTCAAAGGAGAGCATTTTCCTGACTGACAGAGATAGTCAGGGTCTAGTCTTAGAACAGGGTGGGTTCAATCTCACCCAAGTTACTGTGACTCTGTGATGAAAGAGGGATGGGAGATTTTAGGGAGGCAGTCACATGTCTATCACAGATAACCTAATTGCTTAAGATGATAGCGTAGTCAATGATAAATACATCTCAAAAAGCTACTTGCATTGTTGAGATAAAAATCCAAGATAGTGGCCAGATCTGAAAAATGTAGTCTTTAAAAAGTAAACGTAAAATATGTTATATGTAACACATATTTTGGTATAAAACCACAGAACGTGAGGCTGAGGCTGAACACCTTCCTGTGATGAAACACACAGACATTTATGGCAGACACTGTGGTCTTTTCATGCTAAATTGATGTGAGCCAGATTGGGAGATTATGAGGTGCCCTTTGTGGAGCAGCATGAAATAATGATAGTCTCTCATACCAGCACGACTTTTACTAGCAAAAGTATGCCTGTATTACATTATGAAATACAAAACTACAACCAAACTACTACTTTCAAAAGAAAAAGCTGAAAAGTAGGCATGATTTGCCAACTTGCAGTTTTCCCATTCATATTCACTTGTTCTTCCTAATCATTTGTATAATTTCTTAATCGTTGCTTTATCATAGGCTAGCTTCACTAGCAGAAAAGTATCCAGGGGCAGCAAAAGTGTAGTGGAAAAAAATTGGGGGGAGGGGATTAAGCCTAAAATTAAGAAGATTCTGTTAATTTGCTTAATGGTATGGGTGTGCATGAGGAAGACTGCTGTAGTTCAGTTTTGGTAGAAAATCTGGTTTGCTAAGCAGCCGTGTTTTTTGGGAACCTAGCTTCTGAGCTGTTGGTTTGGAACACTTGGGCTGTCGGAAGAAATTTCTTAGCACCAGCTGTATTACTTTATCCCTGGGAGCATAGATAAGGTAGCTCACGTTCTTCTTGGGTGACTGTAATGAGTAGCTTGACTCTGTGGATCAATTGTATTGCTGCCTTGTCTGTTTGCTTCTCTAAATCAGGTAGCTAAGGCAACACTGAATGATAGAGACTGCCAGAGGTTTTTTCCTAGATCATGTTACTTAGAGTTAGGGACCTTTGTCATCTACTAATTTCCAACAGAGGGCAAGAATCCTGTTGTTTGTAGGTTGACCATACAATTGTTTTGAGAGTGTAAGTGGCAGAGAAGATGCTCAGTTGAGTGGGGCCCTGGCACAACAAGCATACAGTGGGACTGTCCTGGGAGAAGCAGCTGTGTGGTCATCCTGGTCATGCAGCAGTCTTGCCAGGTAGTCGTCCAAAATCTGCCTCAAAGGATTTGTTTCCTCACAGAAAAGCTCGTGCTCTAATAATTTAAAAAATTCTAATTAAAAAAATTAAAAGTTCGTTTATTGAGCTAAAATTTATCTCCTTGCAAATAATAACGCTTCTCAGTTTTGCCCTCTGGTACTAAATATAGTCAGAATATGATAGTGTACAAAATGTATTAGCTCTTAAGAAACTTTTTAAAGTACAATTTTAGACATTTTTTCCCCAGAATCTTACAGTTCTCTCTTTATAATTCTGATCTGAGCCCAAATTGAAACAAAAGAAGAGAAAAGAAATGAGAAGAGAAAAAGGCCATACTGCTTGCTGGCTAACCCACCAGGCCCCGGTGCAGGGTACCACCCACTGAGCAACGCTTCATAGCACGTCCATATGTTCTCATCTTGGTGTGTTTAGAAAACATTCAGTGAGGTCTCTGGCTTCTCAAAAGCAATGCTTCTAGTTATTACATTAATATTTTATCACCTTACAGTAGAAAAAAGGGCTATTTTTAGGAGACACACCAATTAAAGTAAAAGAAACAGTAGTCTGTACACAGGAAGGCTAGACCTCCAGCTAGTTAATCATAATGCTTACAGTTTCTTATCATTAAAAATACTTATTATACATCTATAAAAAACTAACTATAGACGTGTTTAACAAAGCCCTCTTGTCATCCTTTTATCTTTCAGACTGAAAAAGTTGTGGTTCATTGTGCAGCTTTTCATCACCCTGGTCACTATATTAAAGACATATTTTAATTTTCATGTGCTATTGCCCACATTTTTTTTTCAGGAGGCTCATAAATAGGACACATTGGGAAGGTAACTTTTGAGATGATGTTTGGATAGGACACAGAGCCTGATTCATTTTATACACACACACACACACACACACACACACACACACATCCCACCTCACTCTTCCCCCTGGTTTTTTTTTTTTTTTGCTGTTCAGGTAATTGTTTAAGAATGAAAAATAGAACTATTTAACAACATGATCAAGGAAAAAGTCCACAAATTGACGTCGTCTTATTTAATAAACATGTAATTTAACTTGAACCCTTGTATGAATTTAGTTAAAAAGTAATCAAATGTTGATGAAAAATTAATCAGTAGTTACTTTAAGAAAAGTGGAAATTTTTGTTCGAGCCAGTCTGAAGATGGTAACCCAAGAGACAGTCTTTCAGAAGTTCTGAGAGCTGTTGTATTAGAGGCCAAGGCACAGTTGTGTAAGGTTTTGAGACAAAGGGTTATACCTCAAAGTAACATACTGAGAGTTTACTTAGTTAAATAAGGTGAGTCTTGGGTCATTGTGACTCCTTATAGGATTCAGAAAGGAACGTTATCTTCTACAGAGTTACCTTGTTAGCACCAGATGGAAATTGCTTTTTTTGGATGAGTAGGCATTCCTGTGTGTTCTAAGGGGACCTAGTTAATGTATAACGCAGATGCCCAGTGAACACTAAACGAGAGGGGGTGGTGCCTCAAATGGCAGAGGACATATTATGTTACATTTTTCTTGACTTGCCTTAAATACAATTTTGTCTCATCACAAAGTAGGACTGATTGAACTTGAATCTATTTGTAATCATGAATTTTTTTTTCTCTATCATTTCCTAACAATTTGAACTTCATCTTTATTGTAAAGAAACTATCAAAATTCTAAACTTCTTAATAACTGATTGTCTGTTAAAAAGTTCATTCATCTTTTAAATGCTATTTTTACCTTGTTTTTAGCTGAAAAATGATTCTTCGCCTGAAATGATCTTTAAAAATTAAAAAAAATTTACATTAATATATTCTTTTTCCCGTTGTTCTCTTAGCTTCACAATGAAGAGGATAATTCAGACTCATCCGCTGTAGAGCAGCCATCAACTTCCAACCCCACACCACCGACTGGGCAGCCTGCTCCCTCCGCATCGGGGCTTGAAACTGACTCTTCTCCTCCACCCTACAGTAGTATTACTGTGGAAGTACCTACAACTTCAGGTACTGTTGTTTCTAGCTTGAAGCAACTAGTAATGTATTTTAATAACTCAGTTTTTTTGTTTTGTTTTGTTTTTACCAGTATGGTTTTGTGTAATTACCCAGTCTTATTAATAGGCTTCTTTGGTTTTATGGTTTTTAAAAAACATTTTTTCCAAAGACAATTTATGAAATACTAACTTCATTTATTACTTGTCTCATTGTTGTTTTAAAAATTAATTTAAAAGTGTAGCTGTTAAAACTTTCTTATGCTCACTAGACTCCATTCCCAGTGGACTAGCCATGTAACTTTTGTAAGAAATAAACAAACGTAGAGATACATACATATTCATACGTGTATATACATATACACACATATGCATATATAAATACTCCCATATGTGTGTGTGTGTGTGTGTGCATATACTTACATAGTCATAAAACAAGGTGTTATTAGTGATGAATCTGAGTGGGAGAGTGGTGTGTGTGAATGGAGGTGAAGGATGACACCTAATGTTACCCTACACATGGTAATAGTTCTTGGATACAAGGCAGTGATTACTGCTTGCTAGTGTTCATCTCACCCTTTCAGGTCATTCTAAAGAACTGCCCTCATCTGTTTCTCTGACTGCAGTTTGTGTTTCCCAGTAATGCTACATTAACCATTACATGATGGAAGATACTAAGAGTGAAATTGCAGTCCCTTTGTTGTGGCTCCTATTGCTATTTCTGTGTAACAGATTACCTCACACCTAAAGGAGTAAAATAGTGATTTATTATTATTAATTCTTGTGGTTTAGGGGGTGAACGGGGCTCAGTTATGAAGTTCCCTCCCTGAGGCTTATGTGACTGTTGTCCGGTGGTGACTAGGACTGGAGGCATTTGCAGGCTTCCTTACTCACATGTTTGGTGTGGTGTTGCCAGGGCTTCGGCTCGGGCCTCTGCTGAGGCTGTTGGCCCACACAGCTGTGTGTGTCTCTTGTTGGGGCCTAGGCTCCTCACTGAATGGAGGCTGGGTTCTAGGAACATGTATTCCGTGAGAAAGCCAGATGGAGTCTGTGTCACCTTTTAGGACATTGCTTCAAATTATGTCACATCTGCCACATTTAGTTCGTTGGAAGTGAGTCATTTAATCTTTGTTCAAGACTGTTGAGGAATTAGTCTCCACCTCTTCATGGGAAGAGTTTCAAAAAATAGACTATGCTTTAAAACCACCACAACCACGTGTTGCGTCTTCCTCCACCACCGGGCCTTCTCCTCTGACGGTCTTCCCCATTTCAGTAAATGGCTCCAGCAGGCCAGGAACCTTGGAACCATCTTTTTGGTACCTTATAAAACTACATGGTTTTTCTTCAATTTTTGTCATAATAAAATGTTATTAACAGATTTCTTCCTTAAGCTAATCTATCCCTACATTCTTGGAATAAATGCTGTTTGTCATCACCATCTCTCTTGGATTTAGATTTATTAATATTTTACTTAGAGGTTTTTTTTTTAGCTTTATTAATATGACCTATGACTTTAGGCACTGTCTTTCTGGTTTTGGTGTTAATATTATGGAGGCAGCATAAAATGAGTTGAGAAGCATCTCATTTTTCTGTGGCCTGGAGCAGTTTTGGTCATGCAGCATGACACTTTTAAAGGTCAGGTACCTTTCAGCTGTAAGACAAGTGGAGCCTGGTACCTAGCTGTTCATTTATTCTCACATTCTTCTCTGTGATTCCTGGTCTTTAATTTTTTTGCGCTCCTGAGTATAATTGAGCACAAGGACTGAGTAATTCTGGAATTTTGTTTCTCTGTTTAAACTATTTATACTATTTTTCTTCAGCTTCTTAGTCTTGTTATGTTTTAGGCATGGACAGTGCTGGTTTTCTGTGCTGATTATATTCTTCAGTTGGTCACTTTATGGCTGATTTTATAGATCTGAGCAACATCAGTTGACATTGGTATAATGTCTCAGTTTACAGAGTCCCCTTGAATACTCTTCCATTCTACCCCATAACAGCAAGTTAAAGCCTTGCTGGGTCAGCAATCTGGATGAGAAAGTGGAACTTCATAGTGCTTCAGTGATTTGCTTGAGGCACACAACTCCTCTAAGAAGAGGAGCTGGGATTGGAGCACCCCAGACTTTAAATCTGTGGTGAGAACCAACCACTGCCTTAAAGGGAAGAAGAAAAATAAGTAAAATTAACAAGTGAAAATTAAAGATGTTCATTTCCAACTTTCACCTGTTCCTGGTGGGGAAATTTTTTCTATCTTGGATGTTAACACTTTTCAAAAACTTACATATCTGTAATGTTTACATTAATGTTTTTAATGTAAAGGATCTCAACTCCTTGGATACCATATGTGATTGTTCCCATTTTTAAAATTTATCATTTTAATGTTACTGCCTTAAAATTCATACTAATTGTTTTTCCTAAAATTTTGCTTCTGCTCTAGTCTTCAGAACTAGAAATCTATTTACTTAACTGTGTACAGTGTTTTTACATCCTAATAGTAAGTCTTTTCTAAGAATTTGACTCTTGTGCCTTTTGGTGGAGAACATTCAGTCTTACACTGCCACTACCACTGCCTGTCATTAGAGTAAAAGTTGCCTAACTTTAGATCATTAGCTCTTATTGGTAGCATTAAAAAAAAAACTTAATAAAAAAGCTCACCTATATACATTAAAACACAATTGAAAAAGTATAGCTAGAGTGCAGTGTACTTTCATGTTGAATGTGCAAAAAATTCTGATAAAGATAGATAAAATTATAAACCAATGTAGAAAATGTAAAAATACTATAGTTATAATAGAGGAAATCACAGAAGTGATGTCAAACATTGTGGTGTGGACTACTTTTAGAATCTATCTGTTTTTTATGTCAGTGATTCTAGCGTAAGTCTAGGCAGTTGATTGACCTGTGTGTATTATTTTACTTATACCAAAGTTGGCAGTGATGCAGTTTTTTTTAAAATAAGCAGTCTGTACTTAATATTGTAATATATTTCTGGAGATCATATTTCAAAAATAGCTTAAAAATTGGGGAGGAAGAAACACTGCATAAAAAGAAAATTTAAAGAACTAGGTAGATGTAGGAAAAATGGGAGGAGAAAAGACAAAGGTGAAAAAAAAGTTAAAAATGATCAAATCTTTTAGTGAAGAGAAATAGTTTGCCTAGGAGTTGCTAAAACTGATGTGTAGAAAAATTAACCTCATATATTATTAGAACTAAGTGTTTGGAGTCAGGAAATTCATGGGTTCTGCCACTTACTGGTCATTGACACTGCGCAAATCACTTCACTTTTCTGAACCTCAGAGTTGCTGAGTTTAATGTACAGAGAAGTGGTGTAGTAAATGTCTAGTACTATATCCGTGTTTGTCACATTTATCCTGATATTTTAACTTTTTTGGCTGTGAAATTATGGGCAAATAAATTATCTGAGCATAGAAATAGGCACGTGCAGGATGCTTGTCTGTGGTGTTTCTTACCTCCTTTGTCTTACACAGATTTTGAGAATCTCATTCTTGATGTTCCTGTTTTGTAGATCAGCCTTTAAATGATATTTATCAGTTCTTTCTCTTGATAATGTGTTTAGAACTAAAATAATATATACAGTGCAGTAGTAATTTATATGTTGCACGGCTTATAACAGGGGGCTGCAAACGGCAGTAATGGTCCTTTGTGGCATTTTATAAATTATTAAATTCTATTTTGGCTATAGAAATTATATTAGTTTCTTTTAATGGTTATGTTTTTCTAATCTTTTTCTTTAGATACGGAAGTTTACAGTGAGTTTTATCCTGTGCCACCTCCTTACAGTGTTGCTACCTCGCTTCCTACGTATGATGAAGCGGAGAAAGCCAAAGCTGCTGCAATGGCCGCTGCGGCCGCAGAAGCATCTCAAAGAGTAAGACACTGCCATGGTTTCCGTGAGAACGGCACCGTGTTAATTGATATGAACATTTAGTAATATTGAAAGTAGTCCTCTGTGCTTTTTTTGGGGGGGGGTATTTTCTCTACTACTACTTATTTGTGTCATCATTTTGTGGTGAAGTGTGCACTCTCCTAGTTAAATTCACCTTCTGCATTCCTTGTCCTTGTCATTTCCATTTCTGTTACCTTCCCCTGCACCCTGTCTTAGCTTATGGTCATCCTGCATGTTATCTTTACCAGTCATTTATCACTTCCTAAATCTTGATTTCAGGCATCTCACGCGCTGACCTTCACCCCCCTCATCCTTCTGACTCCCTCACTCTAGTTACCCCACACCATCAACCTCGTCCCTGTCAGTGTCCTTATATATTTCCCACCTTACATATTTCCTTATATATTTCTCTCCTTTTATAGCTGAGATTCTGTGGTCCATGACTATAATCACAAGTCATTCTTTTTTCTATTCATGTTTTATATTTTAGCATAGCCAGTCTAGTGACTCTATGAATGAACTCAAGGTAGGTTAAAAACACAGAGAAGTAAGTTACAAGGCCTTCAAATTATGTTTGTCAATTCGCTTTATTTCAGTCCTTTTACCACATCCTACCCTAGAATTTGGAAAAGATGATCAAGGACTCCACTGCCCTTTCCCCTTATCTTCCTGTCTTAGTAACAGAGCTGGTGACATACATGTAAGCTATTTCTTGTCCTGGTAAAAGGAGTGTATGTCTCAGCAGTGGGGAGTCCATGAGATGGATGCGTGCTAGTCTACAGCTGGATGAAAGGTGGACATTACTTAGGTTTCAGTGTGGCTGCAAACAGGACTAGGGTTCATTGCCTTGTTTTCTTGATTTACACTTTGGAGATGTCATTTAAAATTCTGGATTCGTCCCATTTTGTTCA